TTCCCTCTGCCAGCTATGCTCTTCCCTCAGATTTCTAGCCTCCTAACTTCCTCATCTCCTTTATGTTTTTACTCAAATATCCCTTCTCAATGAAGCCTCTCCTGACATCCTCTTTGAAAACAGCAGCTCCATCCCATCCACACATTTCTTATCTCCCTGATCCTGACCTATTTTCCTGCTCTCCATAATGCCTCCCAGCTAACATACTATATAACTCACTTATTATAAAAGTCCTACAAGGACAAGGATATTTGTCTCATGTGCTCACTGATGTATCACAAGCTCCTAGGCCAGCATCTGGCCTGAGGTACGCACACCGAAGTATCTGCTGAATCAGTACGTGGCCCCAACCTGCTTTCTCAACATTACTTCCCGCCTCTTCTGCCTTAAGGAAGTCCTGTTCCAGCCAGTCGGCCTGCTGCACTCGCCACCCCAGCACACCAGGCCACACCCTGTTCTCATCTAGGGGAAAAAACCCACTCAATACTTCCCTAAAAGTCTCTGAGCGCCCAGTCCACTGTGATCTTCCCACCCTGCGCCCCAAAGCACTTGCTGCCCAGCTCCCTCAGCTGAAATGACACGGGAAGGATCCATCTGAGAACAAGCATACGCTCTCATTTTTCCTAAAACATGGCTCTAATTTCCTCGAAGGAAGAAATGAAGTCTGTCTTCTTGGAAGTTTAGTACAGAATTCAGTACATTAAAAATGAGAAAAAAAAACTGTTCCTAGGTTGTATTATTTTCCATTCAAAATGAAAAGAGCTTTGAGTCTCATGGGGAAAAGAACATATATTCTTATTCTTACTTTCTTTTCCTACTTTATTAAATATTAAAATGTCAGTGGGGGGCGAGCCCCGTGGCTGAGCGGTTACGTGCACGTGCTCTGCTTCGGCGGCCCAGGGTTTCGCCGGTTCAGATCCTGGGCACAGACACGGCACCGCTCATCAGGCCACACTGAGGTGGCGTCCCACATGCCACAACTAGAAGGACCCACACCTAAAATATACAACTATGTACTGGGGGGCTTTGGGGAGAAGAAGGAAAAATAAAATCTTAAAAATAAATAAATAAGTAAAATGTCAGTGAGAAAATTTTTAGTGGATTGGAGTGATTCTACTCAAGAGGTATGAGCACCTCCCTTCATCCCCTGAATTCTTGCTCCAAGGTCTAGAAGGCCCTACAGGATCTGCCCTCCTTGCCTACTATTCACACCCCCGTCTCGCTGGTGCGCAGCCACACTAGGCCCTGGGCTATCCTTGAAATATGCCAGACATGCTGATGCTTTGGGGCTTTCGTACTTACTATTCCTTCTGCCCGGAACACTTATTCCCGTGGAATTCTCTTCCTGTTTAAATCTTGCTAAATGTCCCCTTCCTGACCACTCTAGCTAAAACTGATGAACATGCCCTTTGCCTTACTTCCTATCAACTTTCCTGTTTTATTTTTCTCCATAACAGCTATAATGATCTAATATTCTATATTTTTTACTTATTTATCTAGTGGAATTACAATAAATACTTTATGTTTTATCCAGTTATAGCTCCACCATCTAGAATATAGCATTTGGCAGTTCTAAAGTACATAATACTTGAGGAATAGAGAATTCCACAAACATGTATATTTTACAAATGCGTAGACAGAGCAATCCAAATTTTGTTAACATCTCCAAAATAAAGTTGTTTCAATCTATAGCATGTTCTACTTCTTTAAATTTGATTTCTCTCCAAGAACTGAATTCTGTTCATCAGAAATAGCCAAGCTCCAACACTACTTTAAAAGTGGTTTAGGGGCCAGCCCCGTGGCTGAGTGGTTAAGTTCGCACGCTCCACTGTGGTGGCCCAGGGTTTCACCGGTTCGAATCCTGGGTGCGGACATGGCACCACTCATCAGGCCACGCTGAGGCGGCATCCCGCATGCCACAACTAGAAGGACCCACAACTAAAAATACACAACTATGTACCGGGGGGGCTTTGGAACAAAAATAAAATCTTTTAAAAAATAAAATAAAATAAAAAATAAATAAAAGTGGTTTAAAATCAGGTCCCTTTTACCATTCCCAAATATTTCTGCAATTGCTTTGAAATAAGAAATCAATATATCAACAAATGTTTCTCAAGCATTATTTGCGTGCCAAGCACAGTGGTTTTAAAAACTCTTTCCTTGAAGAAACATGGACTGTCTTTCACGGGAAATCTAATTCCTAACATAAATCAAAAAACTGCCCACATTTTGCTTAAAATAAATAGAAGTATAAAATGCCATGGAAACATAAAAAGCCATAGAGAGATGGCAAATATAACCCAGTGATTACAGAATAAAACTTTATTTTTTTTAATTTAAAAAACAAGGCTAAAATAACTTTGCTTATGCTTCAAATTCTTTTAAACAAAATACTTGAAATCTTTCCACCTCCCCTCAACAGCGTGGTTACAATGTTATCCACTGAGGCAGTACAGGGAGCTCTCACTGGTTACAAAACCTGGTTTCCCCCTACCTTCCGCCACCCCTCACAGGGCCGCCGAGAGAAAGAGGGCTTTTGAAACACGTTAAAAACTTCCCTTCTAGAGGTGGAGGCCAATAGTTTTCAGTCCACGGCTGGTCTCCTTCTAATTGTAATACTACTTAACACTTACACGATTCATTTTGTTATCTTCTGTCTTACTGCAAGTGTCAGCATTTTTTTGTAAGATAGAAAGCATGTCTGCACATGGAAACAGATTCAAATATTGGTTGAATAAAAAAAGAACACCACTCTGAAATCACCTAATGACAAATTTCTCAAAAAGAATCCCCGCAGTTAAGCGATACATGACTGTATCCATTGTGCAAGGATGACCTCATGAGCTCTGACCTACAGAACTCAGAGTGAAACTAGACTGTAGCTACAAATAAATGGTGCAGGAAATCAAAGCGTACTTTGTATTCAGACTTTAAATCCAAAACATGCATGCCAGTTCTTAAGTTCCAGGTTTGGAAAGAAATGCCAACAATAATAAAAATAAGTAAATTTCCTTGTAAGCAACTAAGATTCAAAAGTGTTGAGGGGCCAGCGTGTGGCAGACTGGTTAGGTTTAGCGCAGGCTTTGGTGGCCTGGTTGGTGGGTTCAGATCTCCTGAGGGACCTACACCACTCCTCAGCCACGCTGTGACTGCAACACACGTATAAAGTGGAGGGAGATTGGCACAGATGTTAGCTCAGAGCTAATCTTCCTCAGTGAAAAAAAAAAAAAAGCATCGAAACAAAAGACTCAGCTTTGAGGACAAGTCTATGCTAGTTCAGTACAAATAAACACACTTAGTAAGACTTGGAATGAAATTACCAGTCACTACACAACAATGCATTTGCAAAGTTGTTCTGAAGTTACTCCAAACCAAACCACACTGAAAAGGAGAAACCGTGGATGAAGTAAGCATGTTATGTTAAATATTTGTTTCATATTGGCCCCCATGTTTTTTTTTTTTAAAGTTACATCTCATTATTAGTATTTATTCTGCAAGAATAATATCAAGGGATGTCAACATAGACAAACGGAGACAGGAACATCACAGGCTCCATTCAGGGAGCTATCTTCACAACTGAGAGTGGTTAATTGAGGTTGTTATGAAAGTTAAACGTGTTAAGACACAGGCAAAGCGCTTAGCACAGTTGCTTGGCTTGCAGCAAACACTTAATAGTCATTAACAAGTATTTATTAGCTATCTACGAAAACGCAGTTTCAAATACTATCTACAACTAACCACAATTCCTCTTGGGGCTCGACTTCTACGTACTGTGCAAACAGCAAATTGTTGAATAAAACACACCTTTTATTTCCCTAAAGATTGGCACCTGAGCTAACAACTGTTGCCAATCTTCTTTTTTCGTGTTCTGCTTTTTCTCCCCAAATCCCCCCAGGACATAGTTGCATATTTTAGTTGCGGGTCCTTCTAGTTGTGGCATGTGGGACTCCGCCTCAACATGGCCCGATCAGCAGTGCCATGTCCGTGCCCAGGAACCCTGGGCGGCCTAAGCGGAGCACCCGAACTTAACCACTCGGCCACGGGGCCAACCCCTAAAACACACTTTTACAACTACCCATCTTGAAGACCAAAAAGGTACTCTATTGGGGTGTCATCAACACAAATTCACAAACTGATCTAAAAACTGGTTAACTGGTTAGCATGCACCTTACTTAGGACCAAAGCCAGCTAAAGCAGGGACAGTGAAAGGTCAAAGGCGGCCAAGCCGGGAGCGACCTGCTCCACTTGCACGCTCCCTACTTCTCACAGAACGGGGCGCTGGATCCAAGGTAGGCGCGGCCGAAGTGCAGAGGAGGACACACCGAGTTAGACATCGCCCTAGGGGACTTCCTCCAGGAATAAAGACCATTCTACCTTAGGTCCATTGACTCACAGGCGACCTCGGCTCTCAGGAGTTCCGCCCCCGCCCCCGCCGGGGCGCCGCCCAAGGGTCCAGAGACCCCCGCCCCGCGAGCCCACCGCGAAGAGGCCAGTCCGCGCCGCCTCTCCGCCCCGCCCCGGCCCCAGGCCCTGCGCCCGGGAGGATGCCGCCCCGGCGCCCGCGCCCCACCCTGGGCCCCGCGCCGCGGCCCCGGCAGGATACTGAACACGGTCCGCTCCCAGGGCTCCAGCATGTAGAGCGCCGTGACCAGCAGGTACTGGTAGTAGAACCAGGACATCTGCTTCCAGGCCCGCGCCAGCGCCATCCCCGCCACGCGCCTCCCGCGCTGCGGACGAACGTCAGCCCGCCCGGCCGGCCTCCGGTTCGCCTCCTGCAGCCCCGGCCGCGAGGCCCGCCCGCTCGCCCGCCACGCCGCGCCCATTGGCCCGCCCGGCCCGGCGCGTCACCCGGGGGCACGCCCGGCCCCGCGCGCGCCCGGGCGGCCGGCAGCGAGCCCCGCCCGGCCGGCGCCCATTGGCCAGGCCGCGGCCTCGTGTCGCGCCCGCCCCCTCCGCGACTCCCCAGCCCGGGCCGCGCCCACGGGAGCCGCAGGACTGTCCCCGCGAGAGCGCGCCCCCCGCGCTGCGCGCCGCGCCCCGCCCCGCCTCGCCCGCCGGCCGTTGGTGGGCGGGGCGCTGGAGTCGGCCGGGGTCCCCCAAATCCAGCCGGAAACAGTTGGCGAGTAAATGTCTACGGGATCCTTGTGTTGCTTCAGGCGTCCTGGTGCGCAGGGGGATTTCAGGAGTGGACAGGAACCTGTTAGGCTCCTTACCTCGTGCAGTGGAGACAGGCATTGAACACACGAATGCAAGGAGAGCTGTGATGGGTGCAGATGGGGACAATAAGGAGCTCCGAGTGGGGGGCGGAGGCGAACCTCACCTGGTCAAGGGGGTCAGGAAAGGCGTCTCTGAAGAAGGGATGCCCTCCTTCCTCCCTCTGCCACGCGCGCGCACACAGAAACACACCCACATAGACCAACATACCAAAGAGAGATTACCTTAAATATGTCTATCTGCCCACCTCTTTTAGTGGCTATAGGTAACGTGTAGCTCAAGGCCGGGAGAAAGACACTGATCTGGTGGGTTTTGCAGACGACAGGCTGCTTGAGATCCGCTGTGGGCTGATGATACCTCCTGGAGATGCTCTCTTACATGTCCAGATTTTCCCACTGGCAAATGGGCCGGCAATATTGCGCTCACGTTCGGGAACGAGATGCACGGTCAGCGTGTGAAATGGCACAGCTGCGTGGCCTGCTGTTTGAATGGTAAAAGGTTTCTTGGTTAAATAGCCTACTTATTAAACTGTAGAACTTTCATGGTTGATAACTTTTTATTTATTCATTTAGAAATGTCAACTGCTGTTCATAAGCTAAACATTGAAGATAGAAAGCTAGATAGACTGAGATCTGCCTTCATAAAGTACCCCGCCTCCTTGGGAAGAGGGGCAAGCCACCCGATTACAGTGAGATGTGGTAAAGGGTATCTTCATGTTGTGTGTAGGACGCCACGAGAGCCCAGAGAAAATCAGATTGGGACTGTAAAAGCGTTCTGGGAAATAGTGCTTGAGCTGAGTATTGAAAGGAAGGTAGAAATGGAAGAATGAATGGGCCTGGGGAGGAGAGAGGGCCAACGGATATTCCAAGCACCGGAGCGTGAACCCCATCTGAAGGCCTGATGCTTTTAAAGGGCTGCACGAATTTCCATGTGGCTGAAGCAAAAAGAATGTGAGGGCAGTAGCAAGAGATGGAGCCATATAGTAAACAGGGCCCATATCCTGAAGGACCTTATGTGAGGAGCTAAAGAATGTTTAACTTGATATCCAACAGTTAAAAGGACCAGTGGCTTAATAAGATTTGCTTTTTGGACAATACTTGAGGGTGGGCGGTAGCCTGGAGTCTACTGAGGAAAAGAGGGTCGGGTTGGAGACATTCCAGTGGTAGAACCTGTGACTGGGACATGTATAACCCACACTCCCTCCGGAGCTCCTTACCGGTAAGAGATCCACGTCCCTCCCACTTCCAAATCTTGCTGTATGGGGCTTCTCTCTGTCCCTGTTCCCGAGCTATCGCTTTTCAGTTCTGTTCAGGCGTGGACAAGCTCTGTTCTTTTTCTTCAAGAACTCCAAATACCTCAGCACTTGGCGATGCTCAGTTAAGTTTACCTAAGATTGGCAGCACCACCCATAGCTACCCTTCCCTCACTGGGCCAGCTCCCCGCGTTCCATTCCTACCACGTGGTCCTCCCCACAGTATATAGCCCCCCAATCCACAGCATGTCTTCAGGAGAGCAGCTCTACCAATCCAGTCCACATCCCTCAGCTTCCCTGAGATTCTCGTGAGCAAAAGTCCCTCCATCTTGCTAGAGTTGATGACTGACTAGAAATGGGGAAAAGAGGCTGCGATCCTGCATGATGACAACATTCACAAAGAATCCAGGGGAAGAAGTTGGGCTGAAAAGATGTAAATTCTGTTAGGACGAGGCTGAGTCAGAGGAACCTAAGGGACATTTAAGTGGAGGTGTCCAGGGGCAGTTGGGCATATGGTTTAGAACTCAGAAGAGAAGCCTGAACCAGGAGCTAGAGACAGGTGAATTTTTTTTTTAATTTCATTTTATTTTATTTTTTTGAGGAAGATTAGCCGTGAGCTAACATCTGCTGCCAATCCTCCTCTTTTTGCTGAGGAAGACTGGCCTTGAGCTAACATCCGTTCCCGTCTTCCTCTACTTTATATGTGGGATGTCTGCCACAGCATGGCTTGACAAGCAGTTCATAGGTCCGCACCCGGGAGATGAACCAGCGAACCCCAGGCCACCAGGGCAGAACATGTGAACTTAACCTCTGCGCCACTGGTCTGGCCCTGAGGCAGGTGAATTTTTTTTTAACTTTTTATTAAGATTATGGTAGTTTACAACCTTGTGAAATTTCAGTTGTACGTTATTGTTAGTCATGTTGTAGGTACACCACTTCACCCTTTGTGCCCTCCCCCCACTCCCCTCTTTCCCCTGGTAACCACCAATCAGTTCACTTTGTCTCTATGTTTAACTTCCACCCATGAGTGGAGTCATACAGAGTTGTCTTTCTCTACCTGGCTTATTTCACTTAACATAATACCCTCAAGGTCCATCCATGTTGTTGTGAATGGGATGATTTTATCCTTTTTATGGCTGAGTAGTATTCCATTGTGAGTGTGTGTATATATATATATACCATATCTTCTTTATGCAATCATCAGTTGATGGGCACTTAGGTTGCTTCCACGTCTTGGCTATTGTATATAATGCTGCCATAAACATAGGGGTGCATAGGACTTTTGGAATTACTGATTTCAAGTTCTTTGGGTATATACCCAGTAGTGGGATGGCTGGGTCATAGGGTATTTCTATTTTTAACTTTTTGAGAAATCTCCATACTGTTTTCCATAGTGGCTGCACCAGTTTGCATTCCCACCAACAGTGTATGAGGGTTTCTTTTTCTCCACAACCTCTCCAACATCTGTCACTTTTTGTTTTGGATATTTTTGCCATTCGAACAGGTGTAAGATGAGATCTTAGTGTAGTTTTGATTTGCATTTCCCTGATGATTAGTGATTATGAGCATCTTTTCATGTGTCTAGTGGCCATCCGTATATCTTCTTTGGAGAAATGTCTGTTCATGTCCCCTGCCCATTTTTTGATTGGGTTGTTTGATTTTTTGTTGTTGAGCTGTGTGAGTTCTTTATATATTATGGAGATTAACACTTTGTCAGATAAATGACTTATAAATATTTTTCCCAACTAGTGGGTTGTTTTTTTGTTTCAATCCTGTTTTCCCGTGCCTTGAAGAAGCTCTTTAGTCTGATGAAGTCCCATTTGTTTATTCTTTCTATTGTTTCCCTCGTCTGAGGAGTTATGGTGTCTGAGAAGATTCTTTCGAAACTGATGTCAAAGAGTAGACTGCCTATATTCTCTTCTAGAAGACTTATTGTTTCAGGTCTAATCTTTAGGTCTTTGGTCCATTTTGAGTTTATTTTGGTGAATGGTGAAAAAGAATGATCAATTTTCACTCTTTTACATGTGGCTTTCCAGTTTTCCCAGCACCACTTGTTGAAGAGACTTTCTTTTCTCCATTGTAGGCTCTCCGCTCCTTTGTTGAAGATTAGCTGTCCATAGATGTGTGGTTTTATTTCTGGGCTTTCAATTCTGTTCCATTGATCTGTGCACCTGTTTTTGTACCAGTACCATGCTGTTTTGATTACTATAGCTTCGTAGTATGCTTTGAAGTCAGGGATTGTGATGCCTCCAGCTTTATTCTTCTTTCTCAGGATTGCTTTAGCAATTCGGGGACTTTTGTTGCCCCATATGAATTTTAGGATTCTTTGTTCAATTTCTGTAAAGAATGTCATTGGAATTCTGATTGGGATAGCGTTAAATCTGTAGATTGCTTTAGGTAGAATGGACATTTTAACTATGTTTATTCTTCCAATCCATGTGCGTGAATGTCTTTCCATCTCTTTATGTCGACATCAATTTCTTTCAGGAAAGTCTTGTAGTTTTCATTGTATAGGTCTTTCACTTCCTTCGTTAAATTTATGCCAAGGTATTTTATTCTTTTTGTTGCGATTGTGAATGAGATTGAGTTCTTGAGTTCTTTTTCGTTAGTTCATTGTTAGTGTGTAGAAATGCTACTGATTTATGTATGTTGATTTTATACCCTGCAACTTTGCTGTAGCTGTTGATTATTTCTAATAGTTTTCCTATGGATTCTTTGGGGTTTTCTATATATAAGATCATGTCATCTGCAAACAGCAAGAGTTTCACTTCTTCATTGCCTATTTGGATTCCTTTTATTTCTTTTTCCTGCCTAATTGCTCTGGCCAACACCTCCAGTACTATTTGAATAAGAGTGGTGAAAGTGGGCACCCTTGTCTTGTTTCTGTTCTCAGAAGGATGGCTTTCATTTTTTGTCCATTGAGTATGATGTTGGCTGTGGGTTTGTCATATATGGCCTTTATTATGTTGAGGTACTTTCCTTCTATACCCATTTTATTGAGGGTTTTTATCATAAATGGATGTTGGATCTTGTCGAATGCTTTCTCTGCATCTATTGAGATGATCATGTGGTTTTTGTTTCTCATTTTGTTAATGTAGTGTATCACGTTGATTGACTTACGGATGTTGAACCATCCCTATGTCCCTGGTATAAATCCCACTTGATCCTGGTGTATAATGTTTTTAATGTATTGCTGTATTCGGTTTGCCAAAATTTTGTTGAGGATTTTTGCATCTATGTTCATCAGTGATATTGGCCTGTAGTTTTCCTTCTTTGTGTTGTCCTTGTCAGGTTTTGGGATCAGGGTGATGTTGGCTTCATAGAATGTGTTAGGGAGTGCTCCATCTTCCTCAATTTTCTGGAATAGTTTGAGAAGGATAGGTATTAAATCTTCTTTGAATGTTTGATAGAATTCTCCAGAGAAGCCGTCTGGTCCTGGACTTTTATTTTTGGGGAGGTTTTTGATTACTGTTTCGATTTCTTTACTTGTGATTGGTCTATTCAGATTCTCTATTTCTTCCTGCTTCAGTTTTGGGAGGTTGTAAGAGTCTAGGAATTTGCAATTTCTTCTAGTTTGTCCAATTTGTTGGCATATAATTTTTCATAGTATTCTCTTATGCTCCTTTGTATTTCTGTGGTATCAGTTGTGATTTCTCCTCTCTCACTCATTTCTAATTTTCTTTATTTAACTCTTCTCTCTTTTTTTCTTAGTGAGTCTGGCTAAGGGTTTGTCAATTTTGTTAATTTTTTCAAAGAACCAACTCTTTGTGTCATTGATCCTTTCTACAGTCTTTTTTGTTTCAATATCGTTTGTTTCTGCTCTGATTTTTATTATTTCCCTCCTTCTACTGACTTTGGGCTTTGTTTGTTCTTCTTTTTCTAATTCTGTTAGGTGTCGTTTGAGGTTGCTTATCTGAGATTTTTCTTGTTTATTGAGGTGAGCCTGTATTGCAATGAATTTGCCTCTTAGGACTGCTTTTGCTGTGTCCCAAATGAGTTGGTATGGTGTGTTTTCATTTTCATTTGTCTCCAGATAATATTTGATTTCTTCTTTAATTTCTTCAATAATCCATTGTTTGTTCAGTAGCATGTTGTTTAGTCTCCACATTTTTGCCCCTTTCCCAGCTTTATTCTTGTAGCTGATTTCTAGTTTCATAGCATTATGATCAGAAAAGATGCTTGATATTATTTCAACCCTCTTGAATTTATTGATGCTTGCTTTGTTTCCCAAGATATGGT